ATTTAAAACCGAACCAAATTTCATAATTCGGTTTGGTTTTATTCGACTTTCGATTAACCGAACCGTTTACTCACTCCTAATTCGTGGTGTGCACAAGTCACCCACGAATAGCATCCATGGCGGATGGGAGGTTAGACAAAGGGTTGTGGACGACGCGTAGTTGCGTGAGAGCTTCGTAAAAAAATTCGGGCTCTTCATTTTATTTACTCGATATTTTCTTTTAAGTTTTGTTTGTCTTTTTCCCATTCTTAATACATAATTTTTAATTCTAAGAGAAAGGGGTTATATATATATATATATAACAAATTTGATTGTGTTATTCTGTTATTCAAATCCTTTGAATTACGCAACAAATATTTCAAATAAAGAATGAATTATAATATAGTCCCTCCAAATTTGGAGGGTTAATTATATATTATGTCTCTTTATTTGTAACATTTTCTTAATGTGACATTTCTACTTTTTTTTCTTTTATTAAACCAATCCCTCAATTTTTTATCCTTTAAAAATGCGGTCTTTTCATTATGAACATCCATGTTTTTCTATTAATTTAAAAGAAGAGTCATAATAAGCACTCTGTTTTTTTTTTAAAAAAAATATGTGATTTAAATAAATAAAATATAAGAATACTAGTGAATTATAGGCTATAATCGTAGCAGAGCAAGTGCATGAGGATTAACCTGATAAAAGTAAAAGTACAATGACCACATTAAAAAACATGAAGAATAAAACAATAAAATAGACAATCAACTCAAGTTTTGGGTGTTTTGTAGAAATTTTAACTTGAAGGATCTTTCTCAAACAATTCACTTCAATCCAAACTAAATTTTACTTGAGGATTTTTTCTAAACATGTTGTAATAGAATGGTGTAGATGCAACATAATTGATTTGAGCAAGAAAGCCTCATATAATACAAATGCAATCCACAGGTTAACAACATAAAATTCAACAGCTAAAAAAGAAGCAATACTCACACAATCTCTCCTTTTTGTACACCTAAGACATGCCAATTATTTTATTTATTTTGTGAAACCTAACGTATCTTAAGTCTAAAGACTAAGATTAATATTTCGTTATTTTGTCGAACATATAAGACATACATAACTATCTAAAGAGTTTTTTATATATATAAAAATTTGAATTCAAAATCATTTGTTTAAATGATTAAAGCTCTTTCTGATCAAATGAACCCACTTGAGCAGGCATGCCAACTGTTCACAATCATTTCGTCTTGGGTAAGCTCATTTCAATGCAGGGATCAATTTTCTATGAAAGGCCAAGACATCTTTCTCATTTTGACCATCCATCATTTCCATTGTTTCCACCATTTTTCCGATCTTCGTGTCAAAACCTTAAACATTAAAATCAAGTTCTTGAACCTTACCTTCCATGATGGACTTTTAACATGCAATACTTGCAAGTTTCATCTGCTTGTAGAGAAACTTAGATTCTGAGTTTGTTCCATATTGCAAAGTCTAAGACTTATTTCTGTATGACAATGAAATTTATCTCAGAAGTCTATTTCAGTATTGCTATCATCCATCGTAAATGCTATTTCATGGAGGTCGAGAAATCGGAAAGCTATACATATAGCCTTCTATCTCTTTGACAAGAATTGTCTTCTTACTAGCTCTGATAGAGCAGAGATAAGTCTTTCGAGCTGGATGTATAGCAAGATTATTGTTTTCTGAAATGCTGTGAACAACATTCATTCACTTCAAGCACGTGCATGCACGCACACACATATTGTTGATGTATGCTATCAAAATATATTGACAAACCGAAGAAGTTTTTCTTTGCAAATTTGAATTTTTTTTTTTTGGCATACACATTTTGCAAAAGTTCTTTATGAATTTATGATAATTTGGGAGAGAAAAATTTGAATTGGCAACAAGGTTTTCAGAGAAGAAGTATACATTCATTGGGAGCTATATTTCGGCAACTTCACACCAAATCGTATATATAACGTAAAAAAAAATGTTAATATTGGAATATATTTTACTTGAAAATCCTTGAAGATTTTGGTAGCTAATTTTGGTGGAATTCATAAAAAAATTTCAAATATAAATCCAAAATATGGATACAATGTTCATTAAGAATCCAAAAAACAGATACATTAATTATTAAGAACGATAGTAGATAGGATGGGTTGGTTTTGTCTATCCAACAATGATCGGTCATATTGTTGTTATCTATAGTAAAAAAAAAAAAAAAAAAATGCATTTACCTATTTATATAACATATAAATCCAAAACAAGGATACGGTGGTTCAAATATAAATCCAAAACATGAATATGATGCTCATTAAAAATCCAAAACATAGATACATTAATTATTAAGAACGGTAGTAGGTAGGACAGGTTGGTTTTGTATATCCAACAACAATCGGTCATCCTATTGTTATCTACAATTAAAAAAAATAAGCATTTACCTATTTATATAACTTATTCTATCGTGGGCCATATGTTAAAATAATTTACACCTACTCTCAATTTTTGAAAACATACCAAAAAAAATAATAATTAATCTTGTCATTAATTCTTTAATAATTAATAAATATTAGAATTTGAAAAGAAAAATATGCTCCAAATTTCTTGAAAGTACAATTAATCAACCTGACGCAATGGCGTTCAGCCAAATAAATATTTTGTTCCTGCATTTATTTTTGTGGGCAAAGGTCGTGATCCTAATAAATATAACTTCGTCCCTAATTTTTTCCTTAAAATTATGTTACAATTTTTTATATTGCTTTGCTTAATTAATTATGATTAAATTTAAAATGATTGAAAAATTATAATTCGTGATATCACAAATCTTATTTATGAGAAACAAAAGAAGTAGTTCCAGTAATTCCAAAAAAGAGTCTTGTTGGTTCATTGTCTCAAATTGTATATAATATTTGCTATTCAACCAAATAAATATTTACCACAATAGTATTATTAAATTATACCTTTTGTCATATGCTTTCAGTGTCAAAATAAACAATTCACTTAGATTAAATTAATGGATTTTTTTTCTTGAAGACGTTGAACCAATTCCAATCAAATTAATGTTTTAGAGAAATATCAGGTAATTAATGTTATTTTTATGTAATCCTCAATGAAAATTTTCTCTAGTGGAAAAACCAGTAGTTAATTTGACCAATTTTTATCCATGAAAATAATTATAGGAATAAAACATATATCTTCACACGCCAATAAGTTAGGATGATTGTAATTTCAAGAAATTGAGAGCTGTGTTGGGTAGACAAAAACCAACCAGTCCCACCGACTACCATTTTTAATAATTAACTAACGTATCCATATTTTAGATTTATATTTGAAAATATTTTACTGGATACTTCCAAAATTAGCTACCAAAATCTTCAAGGATTTTCAAGTAAAAGATATTCCAATATTAGCATTCCTTTTTCCAGTTTATATATGATTTGTTTGAAGCGGTCCTAACATAATTCGTAAAAATTACATACAATTTCTTTGAAAACGTTGCTATTTCTCTTGCAGAAAGAACTTTGGATTTGCACAAAAAATTATTTGTCAATATATTTTTATAGAATATATCGACAAATTGTATACATCTATATTTGAAGTGAATGATTGTTGTTCATAGCAATTCAGAAAAGAATGATCCTTCTATACATCATACTCGATAGATTTACATCAAGCTTCGTCAGAATCAATCTTCTCAAGAAGATGGGAACTATCTTGCTAATTTTCCATTTCTAGACTTCCATGAATCATGGTTTGACGGTGGTGGTGACATTGAAATAGGCTGCAGAGCTAAATTTTATTTTCATTTGGAATGAAGCCTTAGATTCTGTAATATGGCAGAAACTCAGAAGCTAAGGTTTTCTACAATTGGTCCTTGGCGATGAAACTTGCAAGTTTTGTTGATACATGTCTAAAGTTTGTCATGTAAGGTAAGATTCAAGAATTTGGTCTTAATATCCAAGGTTTCGATATGACCAAGCCTTTGAAAAATGATGGCATTAATGGTGAAAAATGGTGGAAACAATGGAAATGATGGATCATCAAAATGAGGGAGATGTCTTGGCTCTTTCTAAAAGACTGATCCATTGACTGAAATGAATGTACCCAAAATAAAATGATTGTATACACATGATACACCTATAACATTATCTTACAACATGTTTAGAAGAAATCTTCAAGTAAACCTTAGTTTGGATAGAAGAGAATTATTTGAGAAAGATCTTTCAAAGTTAAAATTTCCTCAAAACTTCCCAAACTTGGGTTAATTGTATATTTCATTGTTATACTCTTGATATTTTTTTTAATGTGGTCGTTTTCTATTCTTATCTTTATTACATTAATCCTTCTATTTTTGCTCTTTTATGAATGTAGCCTATCCATCCTAATATTATCATTTTCTATTAATTAAGATTATATTTTTTATTTTTTGTTTTTGGAGTTGTTATTGTGACACTTCTATTAAATTAATAGAAAAATAACGAGTCTTGTTGATGAAAAAAACACATTTTTAATGGATCAAAAATAGAGCGATGGATTTGGTAGAAGAAATAAGCGAAAAAGTCTCATTAAAATATATATATATATATATTGTAAGTAGAGAAGCATATTATATAATTAACCCTCCAAATTTGGGGGACTATATTTTAATTCATTCTTTAGTTTAATATTTATTGTATAACTTAAAGGCTAAATAAAAGAAGAACACACTCAATATTATATATATATATGTATGTATGTATGTATGTATATGTATGTATGTATTTTTCTTTTCAAATCAGTAAACAAAAATTATAATTGATTACCTAAAAAAAATTTACAATTCTTATATATATATATAACAATCCTGAAGCCAACATCCTTGGCTAGGAGGACTGTCCCAATACAAGGCAGCCTGATCTTAGTGCAGCCCAACAATAGAAGCCCATAACTCCAAATTCATCGAGTCCAACTCAAGCCCATAACTCACTAGAGGGTATTAACCCATCAGACGGGCCCAAAGTTCCGGCAAAATGGCTACGCAGCATAAGACGGGCAGCCCTCCAGGCCCAAAAAAGAATGAAAGATGGACCATGTCGTTGCCGTGGTCCAACGATAACAATGGAAAATTTATAGTTGACTCATCGAATTTACCTGAATCAGCAGCAGAGGGCATCCGAGGACACCTGAAGAGCCAGGAACATCATATAGAAGAAGCTCGTCAATGTAAGGACAAAGTGGCTGAATGGTATCAATTGCTACGCCTGCATCAGCTTCAATGAACAGGATCCCTTCCCCAGTACAGTCAACTAGAAGTTTCCCATCAGTCCCTTCTACAAGGCTGCCGGCAAATGGGTAGTAGAAGACCGGTGCTTCTGATGATACTCATAGGATCCTTTTCTTTCATAGAATGATGATAGAAGCTAACAAATGGAATCTGAAAACCAAGGCCTACACACACACACACACATATATACGTATGTATGTATGTCGTAGACCTGTTTTTGTTCATGGGATGTTATTCATTTAATAACGAAATTTAATTTATCCAAAAGAGTTAGATTCAGAAGAAAAAACTCTAGTGGTTTAAGTAATTAGTTTTAGGTCTTTATATACGTAAAAAAATTTTAAATAGTAGTATTCATCGTATTTGTTTTATACACCTAACGAACATCGATAGATTAATCGAGTTTTTAGATTTGAGTTACTTTAAGGATCCAAAAAGAATTGATTTTGAAAAGCTAAGTTGTTAGGAGCATATAAAAACTTGCAATTAAATTTTATTTACCATTTTATTTTATGTAGTTTAAATTTTTTATATAATAAAAAAATTAAATTATTTTTACCATTTTTATCATTAATACTCAAAAAAGCTAATTTGTAAACATAAAAATAGCACTGTCATCACCACTTCAGGTGGATCTCTTTCATTAGGAATCTCTTCTTTCTATCTTTGTTAATTATTTTTTATTCTTAATATATGTACTTTAATTTCATTGCTATTAATTAAGCTATCACAAAATCAACTTAAAAAAGTTGTACACTTTTGTCATGTGGAAGCATAGTTGTTGGTAAGTTTTTTAGCTTTTGTAGAGACGGACTGGAGCAGCTATTCAGCAAACATAAGGGAAATTGTGAATTTTTCTTTTTCCAAGGTGTGTGTTGGGTTAGGGTTTTCTTAGTTGGCCTTTTAATGCTCACGTATTATGATCAAACATTTTTTTTTAATGAAATCAATTTGATAATCCTTTTTTTTTTCACACACAACATCGATTTTTTTTATACGGGTGATGATATATATATATATATATATATAGCAAGTAAAAAATATTTATAATGTGAAAAATGGAGTGTTGGAATTATCTAAAAGCAATTTGAAAATTAGAAACCGAGTTACATAGAATCTTCAAATTCCAAAAAAAAAAAAAAAACAATCAGAAACCACTTAAATCTAATAAATAAAAAATAAATTTCGACAATTCACATAAACTTAGTCGAAAAGGGCATTTTAATATCAATGGTTTTGGATCACAAGGACATTATAACAAGTTAAGAATTAAAAAAAATAAACAATAATTATTCTTTAGTAGTATCAGTTTTGAACTCATTTGATTTAAAAAAAAGTCAGTATAAATCGACCAAATGCTAAGCGTATTGTGACACTAGCTTGGATAAAAAAGTGAAAAACTTAGTTTCAATTGATGCGAAAGTTGATCCGAAGATACATCATTGCATATATATATATATATTAAATTGTGAAGACCGATATGCATAGGAGCCCTCAACATAAGGCATTAAGCAAACGATGTCAACGGGGCAATGCTCCTTGCGAAAGCTCTCGAAAGGTCTACAGAATATTGAGTCAAATATATAGATCCGTCGGATCTTTTTTCTTATAACCTTAATTGTCCACACTATAAATGGAGACAACGTTATTTGTATTCGTAGTCGACACTTGATAAAGTCTAATAAGAAATTCTAATGTAGCCACAAGTAAACACGATTGATGATTCACATAAATCTCTATATTATGTGATTTTATTGTTTTTTTACAATATTTTTTTATTTGATTCGTTTCCTAACAATAAAAAAAAATTGAAAAAATATGGCCACCAAGAATTTGAAAGGTAAAATAAAGTGGAAAGTGTAGTGAGAATAATATGGTTGGAGCAAGGTATCAATATTTGGTTAGGCATATAAGCAAGGAACCATTTTGCAGTTGTCTCTATCTACACTGTAGATTCACTCTGATTTCTCCCACACGTATTCTCCCAATTGATTAACTAATTATCTTTCCAGACACTGCCCATTATATAAAACTGGACTCTGTCCTTGTTTCACTTGTCCAGCTAAACCGACTAAGAAAAGATAGTTTTTGAGAAATGGCTCAAAATCTAAGTGCACATGTTCTTCTTCTACTCGTGCCCTTGTCACTGATCATTCTCAATATCACTACTGCAGCAGGTAACATTTTCTGTTCATGCCCTTATCAACAGTTTCTCTCAAATATTTTCCTCTTTAGTTGTCACTCTATTGGAACAAGACATAAGTTAGCAATTGTTGTTGGAGTTACTTATAACTTAGTTATTTGGTTTAATAAAAATAATTAATCAATCCTTGTATTTTCAAAGACAATATATTTAATCCTTAAGTTTTTTGATCCGTTTGTAACTTAGTCCTCTATCGATTCTATGTTTTTTTTTTCTTTTTTTTTTAAAAAAAAAAATCAGAAAAGAGAAGTAGCTAAGGAAGATGGGAAAATTTGATCTGAAAACAAGGTTCTTTTGGAATAAAACGATTAAATTTAGAATACTCAATGCATGCTATAGAAACTAAATATTTAGTCGATATATTTTTCAATCCGTCTATAACTTAGTTCATTTGGCAATTTCATGTTCTTTTTGACTTATATATATATTTTTTTAATTAAAAAAAGAGAGAAGAAGGGCAAAATTTGATGATGAAATAAGGCTTTTAAGAATGAAAACAACTAATTAATTGAGGATAATCAAGCTTATGAGTAGACCAAGAGATTGTTTAACTATTTTATATATATATACACTACAAGGACTGATTAATTAATTTCAATAAACTAGAGGGACTAAGTGATAATGAACACATGATTTTGTTGTTGATTTTGTGAGTTTAATTGAAGTTAATGTAAGATGCATGTTGGGCAGGGCAAAACGCATCTTCGAACGTAAAAACTTTTACGTTAGTAAACAACTGCAAAGAGACAATATGGCCTGGAATCATAACAAGAGGTAGCGACAGTAATGATCAAGGTTTTACTCTAAAACCAGGCCAGAACGCCTTCTACAATGCCACCACCGCCGGATGGAGTGGTCGGATATGGGCCAGAACCGATTGTAATTTCGATAAGAACGGCACTGGAAAATGCCAGACGGGTAGCTGTGGCACCTCTCTGAAGTGCACAGGTCCAAGTAGCCCACCCAACACCATTGCTGAATTCACTCTTAGTAATGATGTTGATTTCTACGATATTAGCCTTGTGGATGGATTCAATTTGCCTTTAGTAATTGCTCCTATTAATGGCAAAGGAAACTGTAGCATTGCCGGTTGCGACGGAGATCTACGACAGAATTGTTCGTCTGAACTGGCCGTCAAGTCGGATGGGAAGGTCGTTGCTTGCCGGAGCGCATGCGATGTATTCAACACCGACGAATATTGTTGTCGAGGAGCATTTGCAAATCCTGTTGCTTGTCTACCAAGTAACTATTCCAGGAGTTTTAAACAAATATGTCCTGCAGCAGCTAGTTATGCATTCGACGACCGTTCAAGTATTATAACTTGCTCTGCATCCGAATACATTGTCACCTTCTGTGCCTCGAGGTAAAGCACATCACATTTTTTATGCCTCTTTTCCAAGGAATTTCCCCTTGATAGGAAAAAGATTACAAGTCAAGCTAGAAAATATACAACGTTATGGATCACATTCTGGCCTACTAATTTCTTGTTTGTGAACGCAGGAATCAAACTGTGTGCTCTTATCATGACCACAAGCTTGTTTGCAATACATCAAATGGTTCAAAATTAGCTTCTCCCCTAGGCCTGGGAGGATGGATCCTGGTGTTGGCGCTGTCTTTGAAACTTATTTTAAAAATGAAGTTTTAGCGATTTATGTGTATAGGAGATTTGCGTGTTTGTTGCCGATGAGTTGGATTTTTTTTTTTTTTTTTTTTTTTTTTTGTAAGAAAAATTTGTCAATTTTGAATGATACCTTGTCTTTTACATTTTTCTTGGTCATGTATATAATCCCATGTAAACTATTTTCTTTAGGCAGATACTTCACATGCTTTTCTTTTTCTTTTTCTTTTTCTCATCCCCATTTTCATTAAATAAACTATATAGACATCCTATAAGATTAAATTGTTTTTCTCGGTATATCAAACGAAATTAATCTAGATAATATTAGTAAAAAACTGAGAAAAATGTTTTAGAAATAGAATGACAATTTTAGATAATATTTATGAATTATGAAAGTCCGTCGGGTCAGGAAAAAAGAAAAAAAAAAAACCTTCGTGCCTGCATCCGTTCGGATAATTGAAAGCAGTAACGATTGGCCTTCCTATTTCATTGAGTATTGGCAGACTCCATAATTTCTACATCACCTAAGGTCCTAAACAACTGAAACTAATACAGGATCACCTTTAGGCCTTTGTGGAGCCATTTTAAATGATTCGACGCACACTTTGGCTCAAGTAGCCATATTAAAGAACAAAGGTATCCGGTCAAATTCTTCTAACAAATGGCTCCTATGGCTATCCGTCCACGCTGGAACCGGTGGAAGAGTTTTTTATTCATTACCCGGGCATTTTGATTGTTCAACTTGATCGCTAGGGATGTCTTGACATTAAGGGCATTAGGAGAGAATCAACGGTTTACACGAGGACCCATATTGAGAAGAAAGAATGGTATATACTTCCTAAATTCTGAATTCTTCCTTTCATGTCTTCCGGTTCATACAGAAATAGACCAGCACACAGTAGGTGGCTCTTTCAGCATAAAACCATATAACATCCTATTTACACGAAAAAGATGCATCTACACTTGCTACTGCTATAGCTTCTTTTTTGTCTGCTCATCTAGTTTCTCCTGTTGACCATCTTGAGTTGACTCACCACTTTCAAAAGGTAATACAACTACAGGAGCTGCAGGCACTGTGTCCCAACGCTCCTTCAGAAAGCTAATAAACTTCTGAACCATTTCCCTCCGGAATTCGAGCTCCCGAGTGAAGAAATCAAAGAGAAGACAGGCAGAAACATACTTGAAAGGGACAAAAAGTAGAATGGCAGCAGAAGAAAACAACACCAGAGCAACCTCGGTAGTTATCTGATAACAGTTTCACATAATATGTCAGATATCCACCACATAGAAACTGAAAAAAAAAAAAAATTAAATTAAAATTAAAACTACAATTTTCAAATATTTTTTTATCCTCAGAGATATAGTTTTAATCAACTTGAGCCCCTATATTTCTGAAACCTACAGAAAAGTACCTTGTTGTGGTGTCCCTGGCTACCAATTATCATTAACAAGAAATTAAAACCATAACCACCTCAAGTTTAACCGTTCCACAGCATAAATCTAAGGGTCATAATTTTTTTCCTCGCTCTCCCTCTTCATGTATTTCGTCTTTGTTAACTAATGCTTGCAAACTGTCCGGGCTGCAGCGCACAAATGGGAACACTACCATTTCCTTGCTTTCTCCAAAACCCTAATTGCTAAAAGACTATAGGCCAATCTCAACTGAAGCTCATATTTGGTAATCAATTTGTATAATTCAAAACATGCCCTTTGCGAAACAAATAGAATCTGTTTCTGAAAGACCATCAGTAACACAGCTATGACGTGATGTTAGAAAGTGTTTTTTTTGTAGATTCTGCGCGAAAAATTGCTTTCTTGCAAATGAACATTATAGTTTCGAATCTCCTTCATTGTAGAGAAGTAAGAATTGAGTAATTCTAACAAGGTTCGAGAAACTCAATGGCACAATTCTTAAACAACTTGAATTCAATACATTCTTTTCCCACCACTACGGATACAAATAATGGGAAAAGGTGGATTTCCAAATTGTCAACTCAGAAATGGCATTGGCAACAATTCAAGCCGTAGCACATTTTTGAAAACCGCACATGATTTTCTGATCTAAATAACATAGGTGTTACATAGAAGCTTCCCTTTTTTTCCTCCCTGTTTTGTGCTTGGGCAGCTAGAAACTATGGTTTCAAGAGCAACAGGATAAGAATTTCACTTTGAAAGGTAATGGATGAGATGTGCAAGAATAAATTGGCCACTCAAGGTAGTTTTCTTCAATCTCCTAATAACATTGTTAATTTTGCGGAATCACTCCTCAATAAGCAATTGCACCTTTTTCTTACACACGTCTGGAATCTTGATTTCTCAATTTTGGACAATGATGAGAATGTAAATAGTTATGAGGCAATATAAAAAAAGAGAATAAACCTAATTGAGATAACTCCAATATAAAGTTTCTCATGAATCCCTGTATTCCCCTCTCCTCAATCACATCCCCGGAACCCTAGCAGGCAATATTGCAAATTAGATGTGTGGTTATTCACGGTATCAAGTGAATCTTACTTTTAACTTATGATGCAATTGGAGGGAGTTTCGTCTGCAAGGGAAAGTGAGGGGAGCTTGTTAGCTATTTGACCATAGAGAGAGAGGAGAGAGAGAGAGAGAGAGACCCTTTTGACTTTAGTTTGTAGGAGAATGGTCAGAGTGGGAGCTGCTTCTACCTTCGGCTTGGCTATAGGGAGCATGACGCTACATTGGTTAACAGTTTACTGTTTCAGCATCTATGTAAACATGGGGTTGGGTTGATCAAAACACTTGTCTTTTAAGTAAAATAATAAGTGTTGCTTACAACTACAAACATTTAAGGTTTATGGGTGATCATGGGAGAGAGTTTTTATTAATGGATAACTTCGTTCGTGGGTACAGGACAATAAATCTAGTATCCATGTGAAAGTGAGTGGGTTGTTGGATACTGATTATATTGAAAGGAAATACAACACCCTTATGAATTATTAGGGCTGGCTAATTTTGGAGTGTGGTCCACTAATAAAAAGGTTCTATTTGAAATGTTTAATAGTCGGAATTGGCATAGAGAGATTGTCTCCTAGAGAAGTGGTTCACCTTCTATTTGGAACAGTTCTCCTACTCTAATCAAGGATTTTATGAGTTACTCTTATCTCTAATAAGTTCCAGCTTTAATACATGGAATGAGAGAACTAAGATTAAAAGCGGAAAAACCAACTCAACTCTAGCATAGAATGCCAGAACTGCTAGCATTTTTTTGCTATATGTTCAATGGTTTAGTAGTGTATTTGATATTTTTTTAATATTGGTTCTGCAGTGTTTGATCATAAAAATAAAGCAATTTTCATACCCAAAATGAACGATACCGAAGCATGGCTTGCACTCCCTTTCTTTGTGATAAATAATATTTTCACATGCCTGATTTCTAATAAGTGCATCTGATCCTGAAAAGTTTGTGTAGACTTAGTCTGCAAACTCACCCATAGACTTGGCTAATAGAAACAGGACACATGGATTAAAAATAAAAGGTCCCACATGATGATATATGATTTTGTTCATTTGTCTCGTCTCTAATGGCCTAGTTCATGGGTGAGATGGTAGAGACTTGAGTCTACAACCATTCTCTTTGATTCAAGGTTTCCACAGGGTAAAATTATATTTAAAATTTCAACACAGGTCACACTTTAAAGTGTCATCATGCACAAACTAACATGTCTTGTATTTGCATATTTAACAAGCCTTCAAATGATTCATTACAACTTACCTGAGGATGACCTGAAAGAAGAATTGTTCGTAATTTCAGAAGAGTGACATTCAGATTCTGGAGATAATTTTCCACATCCTCCATAGCATCTCTTACAGCTATGATCTTTTGAATAGTATTTGAAGGTGGCTGATCACGGATAGTAACCATTCCAAACAATCTTCCCAAGCGTCCTTGCTCCCTGAGCCCCTTTAATGTTAGCATTCCAGCTGCTAAAACCATCAGCATCATCGGAAATATATATGGGAGCAAATTTCTGGAAAAGATGGTCACTATTTAAGCTTAGATTTAAACATAAAATGGAAAGGTTAATTGCATGAAATAATAAACAAGAACAGAGCAAAGTTCCAATTAACAACTTTTGGTTCAGAATACAAATCAAAGGTAGCTTTGGTTATTGAAACAGACAATGGATTGGGAACCAACTTAGTACTCAAATCTCGCTGGCACAATCTGAAAACATGCGATAGCCAGATGAACAAAATAAGGATGTGCAAAAGAGATATAGATGCGACAACAAACAACCATTCTAAAAATGAGCATTTGGACCATGAAAATCTAAAACATTGATCATCAAAAGAGAACAGGTTTCAGTATGCATTTGGTGTAGTCAGAGTATTAAAACTGAACAATTCTCATAGATAAGTTTTTCAAGCAATGGATCCACCTGAAAATAATTGAATAAGCAAAGGCGAGAAAAGATATGGTCAGATGTGGCTCCTCCCAGCGTCGCAGTCTTTCAAAGTTCTTAGCAATCACAGTCAGAGGAAGCATCAGCTCCTGCAAAAGGGCAAAAGGAAAAAATGCAGTTCCAGTTCAACTCATCATATCATTTACCAAAAATTGATGTCATTGAAAACACAAAATGAGATAATGCTACATTTCAGTCTTCGTGTAACTTGGATTCCATGAACATTTTGCAGTCATCCTTGCTCTGGATCTCAAAAAATGGCAATCTCATACTTCTAAAATCTTTGCTTTTCATGTTAATGACGATAAAAACCAAGAAA